GCGAAAGGAGCCAAACCGGTCGACCAGGGACTCGACCACGGTTTCTTCCCTGACACGCCAGTCAAGGTCACGTTTTTCGCTGGTCTCGCCCAGATGAGCTACAGTCGGGGCCCTGAAGAAGGAACCCTTTTGGTTGGGGATGGGGCTCCGCGTTCCTTAAGTGTTTCACAGCTTGCCTCAGGTTTTCCTTGTGTTTTCGATGGGAAATCGAAGTTTAACTTATGGAAAAAAGGGGCCTCGTTCCTTATTTAGGGTTCCTTAGGTCAACGCCTCGACTGTACTTGACGTTTCGACGGCCGCCTGCACGGCCGACCGAGGTGCCGTTCCGAGCCCATGGATTGTCAGAAGGTCCAGTCGAAGCTTAATGAATGCACCTATCGAGCTGTTCGGGGAGACGAATCCCTAATCGTTTCAACCCCTCTCGGCGAAGCGCATGGCACGTGGGCCAACCTCTGCGAGAAGGAGCTGCCCCGAGCCTCTGGAGTGGAGTTGCCGGTCCGGGGATCTCGGAGCAAGGGGCCCGTGACTCACTGGAGGCCTCTCCTGGGCAAGGACTTGGGCTGCGTCAAATACCCTCCCCTTCATGCTGTGCGTCTGCCCAGTGCCAGCCTCAATCAGTTTTCTGTTCGCTTCTCGGGGTGCCCCGACCCCGATCGGTCTCCTGAAGTTCGAGCTGCGGCCGAAAACTTGGCCTTCCCCCCTGGTCGGGTTAAGGACGTTCCCGACTCGTTCCCAGGATTTCGTAACCTTTCATCAGGAGCTTCTAAGCCAGGATTGGACCGGCTGGACGGCTCCATCTCGCCCTGCGTTTGCGGTGACAGGGTGGAGAACTTGACGGGCGCCGTTGCCGATACTCTTGCCAGCGTGCCTCGCACTACGCGGTTCACGCGCGCAAGGACTGGAGTCCTTGTCTTTTGAAGCAGTCGACCAGGGGGGGCGTAGGGCTCACGCTGTCTCGAAGGACCCCCAGGCCTTCAAACCATCCTCGACCTTGAGTTCTAGGGGATGCATCGTTTCGGATCCTCAGGCCCTCCGTCGGAGCGAAGCGATTCGCTTCCGGGACCTCTGGGAAGCCCAAGCCACTCCCCCTAGGCTCCCCAGTGTTCTTCTGGACCCTTTACCCTCGATTCCTGTCAGCACTATCCGACGCGCGTCGAAAACGTTCGCCCATCGTTCGGCCGTAGGGCTGGACGGCTTCCACATGAGGCATTTTTCGATCCTGTCGGACGCGGCTCTGGAAACTTTGTCGAGCCTTCTCAGGCTCATTGAAACCATCGGGTGTTTACCTCCGCAGCTCCGGGCTGTCGTCATTGTCCTTCTTCCGAAACCCACTTCTGGATTTCGCCCGATAGGTGTATTCCCTAGCCTCTACAGGCTTTGGGACAAGTGTCACAGGGACTACGGGCTAGCCTGGGAAGAGGCGCACATGCGGTCATATTGTGCGGCTGGACAGCACAAGTCCGCCAGCGACGTGGTTTGGAGGCAGGCAGCCCTCTCGGAGCGAGCTCGTTCTTCTTCGCAGTCGGCTTGCACTCTCCTGTGGGATTCCGTTAAGTACTATGAACAGATACCACTGCACTTGCTTATTCTGAGATGCCAGCGTCACTGTTTCCCTCCAGCTATCACGGCTATATGTGTAGCAGGATACAGGTCGGCTCGATTCCAGGTCCTTGCGGGAGTAGTCTCCCAGGCGTTATACGCGAGGATTGGGATTTTCGCAGGTTGCAGCTTTGCTACCACACATATACGTATTATTGCACCTGACGGGTTCGATTCTCTCGCCCCCCCCCCCCACTCTCACCTTTGACGCATACATTGACGATGTGCGATTTCGCTTCGAGCCTCCAGACGGTTGTGAGTGAAATGCTGCATGCTGACAACATTGCGCCGCTAGACACGGTTGGCCTCGTCTCGTCCTCGAAGTCATCGTCTCGGCTTGTGCAGCGACGGCTTGGTAAGTTGGCAGGCCCGCACCATGAATCGATAGTCAACCTCGGTATCGATGATACTGCTGGTGGAGCCGTCCACGCTCGTGGGCGAAACGCCCGCGCTGAACTACGAGCTGGCCGTGCGACTCGGCGGCCGGCCAGGCTCGTTGGACCGCGCGCGGATCCAGGACGCGGGGCTATGAAACTCTGCGCAACAGGCCCGTTGCCAGGACTGACGCACGGCAGTGAGGTCCACGGGTGTAGCGACGGAGAGCTCCTCAAGATTCGTCGGTTGCGCGGCTCCACCATGAAGCCGAGCTCCGGGGGGAGGAGTCTGACCATCCTGAGCAGGATTGAAGAGGACCCCTTCTTGGTTTGGAGCTGCGTCTCCCATCGTGCGTTGGGCGAAGGAAGTGTGGGCCCGACACGCCAGGGCCTCTGATGTCGTTTTGTTTCTTCGTCCCAACTTTGTTCCGTGTGGAGCGAGGTCTTTTCGAAACGCTGGACGTGGCGCAGCGTTGCCGGCCCCGTGGGGGCGATGAAACTCTCGGTCGAAAGGATTGGGTGGGAGATGCCATCTCCCTTTCTGCTTGTCAGCGATCCGGGGGCTCACCACTCCCTCGCGTTCGCTCCCCCCGCTCTCCTGAAAAAGCTCTCGAGGGAAGGGGCTTGGAGGTCGCTTGAACGCGAAGCTGCTGCCAAGCACGGCGATCAAAAAGCGAAGCGTCTGTGTTTTGATGTAGTTTCGGCTGCCATCAGGTCTAAGCGCTTCACAGCCCGCCAGCAGGCAACCATTCGACGCCTCTCTTGTCAAGGACTGTGGCCTCGCGCTCGGGCCAGGGCTGCTGGCTACGGCATTCCAGATCTTTGTCCTCTATGCCAAGCTCCCGGGGATACTTTCTTTCACCGTTTATGGTGTTGTCCTGCGGTTGCGCTAGAGAGAGAGAGGCTATTGTACCCGATCACGTGTTATCTGGAGTTCTCCGTGACCCTACTTCGGTTAACAAGTTCTCCCCAGTCTCAGGACTGTTCGGCCACCCTGAAGACGCGGCCCCAGCCCCCACGGCCAATGCAGGGGACAGCCCTGATGGAAGTGCCCTCCGATTTTTCCGACGGTTTTGAAGCTGAAGGCCCAGGCCCTCCGTGCCCGCCCGGGGGCTCTCGAGAGTTTGGGGGGGATGTTTTTTTGGCCGGATCCTGTTTCAAGTCTTCGGTGCGGGATTTGAGCCGAGCGGGCTGGGGATTGGCCTTGATCGGCCCCGGAGGCAACCTTTTAAAGATGATCTACAGTCGGGGCGTTGAAGAAGGAACCCTTTTCGTTGGGGAGGGGCTCGGTGTTCCTTGATTGTTTTGCAGTTTGCCTTGGGTTTCTCGTAGGTTTCCCATGGGAAATCGAAGCTTAACTTATGGGAAAAAGGGGCCTCGTTCCTTACAGAGGGTTCCTTAGGTCAACGCCCCGACTGTACGGCCCAGTCTGGGATAGCTGTCCACAGATCCCGCAGGCAGGAGCATCCACGGCATGTGCAGTGTGCGGTGCTCTGCTTTCTAGGCCCAGCCAGCCGTACAGCGATTGTCCCAACGGTTGGCATGCACCTTCTTCTTGATCGTGCCCGCCCTTAGTGGGCCCTGGAAACGACAGGGCCGTTGTTTTACTGGTTCCGTTTTGCCGTTTTTTTGCCGGTTCCGACGCCGTTTTTGTACCGGTTCCGTCGCCGTTTTTTGAACGTTTCCTCGAGCCATTTTTTGTTTCCGTTTCTGGTCGCCTTTTTTTGCCGTCTCCATTTTCAAGGGGCACTTTTCCGGACACGGTGAAAAAACAGCCCTGCCGTTTCCGGGGCCCACTAATTGCCCGCCTCGCGCCAGACAGACCGTATGCTGGGTTGGTGATGCAGGGGCGGGCGTCGGGGGGAGTAAGATTCTTGGCCGCGAAAAGGTGAGGGCGCATCAGTCGATTGATGACCCTGACATTTCTCCTCGTGCACGTCTTTTGAGCATCTGCAATGACTTTGCGGATAGAGCGGCCAAGCTTGGAGCTGCAACGCACCCGACCGCTTCGCAGTCCACGCTGGCCGACATCGATTCCGAAGTCATGTTATGTAATCATGTCGTCCGGCTTGCTGCCGAATTGCTCCCGCAGTTGCCATGGACCGATCTCTCTGGGGTCTCATGGTCCAACCCGGGGGCTTCTATGGTTGGAGAGGCCCCTGAACCCCACGCGTGGGTCTGGCTTGGCCCTCCTGGAGGCTCTCAGCGTTTTTGGCAGTGTTCCGCTTGGCTGCGCACTAAGCGAAACCATTGTGATCTCTGCCCTCCACCTGGCCACTGCCTTGGCTCTCCTCGCGTCAGCGTGCATGGGCTGAGATATGTAAAGCATGGATGTGTGATGTTTGATTGCTCCAACGGCTCGCTCACAGTCGTATGCACGGAATGTACCTGTTACACGTCTTGTGTTCGTGTTGTTGGGCTTGGGGAGCCATGTAAAGGCCGGCCTGTGGATCTCAAGACAGGTAAAGACAAGTACAACCCTGACAGTTGGAATCAGATTTGCAGACGACTCCATCCCAAAGAGAAGGGGGTAACTCTGCTGTCTGACACTTTTAGCGTGCTTTAGCCCCTCAGCGGAGCGGTGGTACTCAAACAAAATCCTCCTCTCCTCCTCTCCCCCTCTCTCCTCCTCCTCCTCTCCCCCTCCTCCTCTTCTCTCCTCCTATCCTCTCCTCTCCTCCTATCCTCTTCTCTCCTCCTCTCCTCCTTCTCTCCTCCTCTTTCCTCTCCTCCTCTCCTCTCCTCCCCCCGTCTCCTCCCTGGCTCTTCCTGCAAGGTGGGCGGGGCAGGTCGCTGGGATCCTCCTCCCCTGCCTCATCTTGGCGGCGAGCGATGGGGGAAGTGAGGCGGTGGGGATTCTCCGAAGCCCTCGCGCCTTCTCCGCGTCTGCGGGGATGGCCCCGTCAACCTCTCGGAAGGCCGGGGGACTTTCAGGGCCTTCCGAGAAGGCCCGCCTCTCCTCCTCAATTGCCCCCCCCTCGCTCGCCGCCGGTCATCGTCCCCCTCCACCCCACCCTTATCGTGCAGGAGATCGAGTCCGTGGCCAACATCTACCACGCGTGCGGCGGCGACCTGGACAGGGGGAGGGAAGATGGGGGGGCAGGGAGGAGCGAGGGCGGGATGACCGCAGGAGGGATGGGAGGGAGGAGAGGGGAGAGGAGGAGAAGGAGGAGGAGGAGGAGGAGGAGGAGGAGGAGGAGGAGGAGGAGGAGGAGGAGGAGGAGGAGGGAGGGAGGAGGAGGAGGAGGAGGAGGAGGGGGAGGAGGAAGAGGAGGAGAGGAGGAGGAGGAGGAGGAGGGAGGAGGAGGAGGAGGAGGAGAGGAGGAGGAGGAGGAGGAGGAGGAGGAGGAGGAGGAGGGAGGAGGAGAGGAGAAGGAGGAGGAGGAGGAGGAGGAGGAGGAGGAGGAGGATGAGGCGGAGGCGGAGGAGGAGGAGGAGGAGGAGGAGGCGGAGGAGGAGGAGGAGAAGGAGGAGGAGGAGGCGGAGGCGGAGGCGGAGGCGGCGGCGGAGGCGGAGGCGGAGGCGGAGGCGAAGGCGGAGGCGGAGGCGGAGGCGGAGGCGGAGGCGGAGGCGGAGGCGGAGGCGGGGGCGGAAGCGGAGGCGGAGGCGGAGGCGGAGGCGGAGGAGGCGGAGGAGGCGGGGCCTCTGCAGAGGCCGTCAGGGAGGCCTCTAGGCCTGTCTTAGGGCCGTCTTGGGTCGTTGTGGGGCCGACGTGGGACGCTCTTGGGGGCCTCTCATGCAGATCTTGGTGGTATCTTGGGCCGTCTTGGAGCGTCGGGAAGCCGAAAAGGTTAGAACGGCAGTGCCTTCCAGCAGCCCAAGTTGATCATGGAATATTGGGTGTTGGGCCCCCTTTGGCGTACTCTTGGAGGCCTCTTCGAGCGTCTTGGCAGTCGCTTGGGCAGTGAGGAGGCCATGTCTGGCGTGGGCCGATCGTTCGGCGATTCGGGGCCCTCTTGAACCGTCTTGGGAACTGGGGAGCATGGTATTCTGACCCTGGACCCTTCCCTTTCGGGATCCCCCTTCGGGACCCCCCCCGGGGGGAAGTGACCACAGGGGAGGATCTTCCCATCGAGTCAACTACGGCGTTGCTCAGGTTCGATTTGGTTTCGCTTTGGCTGGCGCGCTTGAAGTTTCGGTTCAGTTTCGTCATGGCTGGCGCGCTGGAGGAGAACCCAGTGACTGCGACGATGACGACGAGGACGACGGCGACGACGACGAGTCCGGAAGACGACGACGGCGACGACGACGACGAGTCTGGCGACGACGGCGGCGACGACGACGACGACGACGAGTCCGAACGACGAGTCCGACGACGACGACGAAGACGACGACGACGAGTCCGAACGACGACGACGGCGACGACGACGACGGCGGCGGCGGCGACGACGAAGGCGACGACGGCGTCCTCCCTCACGAAGGGTCGGCGGACGTTGGCCGCGGGACCTGCCCGCGGCCGAAGCCCGCGGAGGGCAGGGAAGCCCCTCCGTTGCCTGCCCGCCTCATTCCGCGGCAGCACGGTGGCCGTAGCCTTGCGTCGGGCCTGTCCCTCTCCTCCGCCTCCCTCTCCTCGGCCTCCTCCACTCCTCCTCCGCCTCCTCCTCCGCCTCCTCCTCCTTGTTTGGAGGGCAAATGAGGGATATCGAAATCGGTCAACGATTTTTCGTTGCGTGGCTGCGAGGAACATAGTGCATCAACGAATTGTCGTTCTCGTTGGGCAGGAAAATGAAGGCATCGAAACCCCATGGCGATTTCCCGATCAAAACCCCATCTTCCCGAGAAGCCCTCAGTAGGCCCGGATGGAACATCCAACTCTGCAGGGAGAATAATCAAAAATAGTAATGAGAAATAGGTTCAGGGGAAGGTTTCTGGTCGACTATTTTTTGGGGGCCATGTTTGGGAGCATTTCTTGAGTATGTTCTGTTTGTCCTCCAACAGTCCGCCTGTATCGGGCCGGCCGAAAGGGGGGGATTTGGGAAAGGGAGGGGCCCATTCCTCGATACATAGCCGCCTCCGGCGCCGGGAGGCGTCCGGAAAATCAGCTACGTGAGCTGATTCTCAAACCCCCCCAGTGCTATCCCCCCCCTTTCGCCCGACCCGACTGTATGGGGGACGTGCCCGACCCAACCGTGGCCTCCGTCGGGCGCGCTCTGGAGCAGGGCCTACCGGCTAGGAGCGCATCGCGCACGACTACCACCTCGACCTGGAGGCGTTGACGGGCCACCTCCGGCCCAGCGACGCCAAGGACGGCCCGCGGGCGCACCGCTGCCTGCTCGTCTGGCCTCCGCTGCCGGTGCCTTGGCATCGCTCGGACGTGTGCATTTTTTTCTCTGGTGAGGGCCATCGAGGAGCATCCTTGATCACTTGGCGAAAAAACCACGCACGAAACCGAAAAAAGCACATGGAATGGACGTCCGAGCGATGGCCAGGGTGCGCGCCGACCTCTGCATTGCATTTGTCGGGGGGGACGCTGCCGCTCCCACCTGGGCGTGGCCCTAGCAGCGGACTGACAGCAATCAGCAGGAGCGCAGGCTCTCTGAGGTCCGCGCTGGCTTCCTGGATCTGCGCGAGCACCCTGAGTGATGTCTTCCTCTGAAAGGGGGCCGTGATGGTTTTCGCGAGACGCTGTTCGGGGGCGTGCTCTGAACGGATTTCCGGACGAAGAGGAGGGCGAGTTGTCTGTTTGCGTGTGGGTTCGTTTGTCTGCATGTGTCTGTTCTATCCTTCTCCCGTTCTGTCCAGTCCCGTCACGTGCAGTCCGATTTTGCTTGTGCCTCTGTGTGTTCGTGCGCGCTTGTTTTGTTCATTAGAGCTCTCTATGTCCGTTTTATCTATCTAGTGCCAGCCATGGATGCAACGCCACGTTGAAGGAGCATTCCGCTCATGTTATTTCCAGTTCATGGTGTACGTATGTGTGTGAGGTGCATGTGTATTTCATGTGTGCAACTGTTAACAGCATGTGTACTGCTACAGTATCATGCTTGATGTATGGTGATTCGCTGTGTGTGTCTCTGTCTACATAAATGTACATATAGATATATATGTGTACATCGCGCGTATGGAGAAGTACCCAGAGATCCCACATCGTGATTTTTTCAACACGGGATCCCCAGAAGTCGTCGACCCATTCCCCAGGACCAGTTTCTCATCCTGCGTCGATGTTTGACGGTCCCGAGGCCCGGCGAGGGCCCCTATAGGGGCCCAAATTTGTGAAAAGCCTTTGTTTTGGTTTTGGGTATATATTGGACGAGGCCAAGGCCGCGGCGGCCGACGGTGGGGGGTACCAGTAGTCCGGGGTGGGGTACCTGTAGTCTGGGGGAAGGATACCTGTGGTCCGGGGAGGGGATATCTGCAGTCTGGGGGGGAACGCGTGTTCACGCGTCAACGCATGCGTGGATGTAGTCCTATGGGGGTACCTGTAGTTCGGGGGAGGTCATTTGTAGGGGGGGGTCCTGTAGTCCGGGGGAGTTACCTGTAGTTCGGGGAGGGGGTACCTGTAGTCCAGAGTGGGGTACTTGTAGTCAAGGGGAAGGGTACCTGTAGTCTGGGCGGGGGTTACCTGCAGTCTCGGGGAAGGGCACCTGTGGTTTGAGAAGGGGGTACCTGCAGTCCAGGGGAACCAGTAGTCCGGGGACCCAGAACTATTGAGGGACACAGAGTACCCATTCCTTCCGTACCCAAGCGAGGCAAAAAGTCGGGGTCGTTTGCGCCGACGTTGGCGCGTAAGCTGCCTGCGCGAGGGCGCGCGTAAACGCCCTCGTCGCCAATGTGGCGTGCCGCGTCGGCGGCCCGCGTGGGCCGCAGCGTAAGGTCGCCACGTCATCTCGCGTAAAACCCGTTTTTGATCGTCGTCCTCCCCCTCCTCCTCCCCCTCCTCCTCCTCCTCCTCCTCCTCCTCCCCTCCTCCTCCTCCTCCTCCTCCTCCCACTCCTCCTCCTCCTCCTCCTCCTCCTCCTCCTCCTCCTCCTCCTCCTCCTCCTCCTCCTCCTCCTCCGCCGTTTTCGTACCCATGTCGATCGTCCCGACCACTAGCCAGCACGTCCTCTTGGCAAAGGCCACGAGCAGCACGCCCCCGACATCGGCGAGCGGGCGAAGGCGCTGGGACCCACGGCAGGGGGAGGCCCCGGGGTCCGGTGCCATCGCTTCCTGGAGGGCCCGGCTGCTTCACGGTCATGGGCAAGAGGAGGAGGAGGAGGAGGAGGAGGAGGAGGAGGAGGAGGAGGACGAGGAGGAGGAGGAGGAGGAGGAGGAGGATGACGAGGACGAGGACGAGGTGGAGGACGAGGAGGAGGAGGAGGAGGAGGAGGAGGAGGGGGAGGAGGAGGAGGAGGAGGAGGCCCAACTTTCAGTCCACACTCTTACGTTGTGACCTCTTCGGGGGACCTCCCCTGTCCCCCCAAACTTGTGTATTTGTTTCTGCCTGACGCGGACTAGATCCGGGCTCGACGCGGATTTGGCGTAGATTCGACGCGGATTCGACACGGATCCGACGAGGCCGGCATGGATTCAACACGGATTCAACACGGATAGAGCCGCCACGGGACAGACAAGGTCCCCCGAGGATGCAACATAACACCATCCAAGTTTTCAGGCGTTTTGTAGGTTCCCCAGTGGTTCCTCTGCATCGGGATGTGTTCCAGCAACTGTGTTCCTCCGGAAGTATTTCTGGGGCGCCCGGGTCCTCTCGACCGGTTCGCCAGCGAGCCGTCAGGTGGAAGGCTAGGGGGGATCATAGGTTAGGGGGGGATGTACGAACCCCCACTTGCCCACTCATCGCCGATAGGGGCCCGACAGCACACCCCGCCCATGAACGTGCGGACTCGCTGTTAGGGGGGGCGCCAAGGATGAGGAGGAGAAGTATGAGGAGGAGGAGGAGGAGGAGGAGGCGGAGGAGGAGGAGGAGGAGATGACCGATTCTTGCTTGATGTCTCGCCCCCTGAGCTGGCCCACCCCCCCTGGCGTTGTCAAAATCACCCCCGCTTTCGGGGTGCGGCGGGATGCCAAACCCAAGAGCGCGCAGGCCGCGGCTGCTGCACCGCACGCCGCGGATGGGCAGGCCGCGCGCCCGAAGGCGAGGAGCGAACAACTGCATGCAGTGGAGACCCATGCCGAGAAGCATCCTGCTTGCCTCCAGGGTGCCCTGGGTTGCTTGAGTTTCGGTGGTTCTGATATGGAAGGCGCGACGTCCCCACGCCCATCCATGGACGTCCTGGGGTCTCAGGGTTGGGTTTTTTGCGGAATGTCTCTTGTGGTCGGGCCCCCACGAAACCATCAACTCCTGGAGCTCCGCAAGTTTATGTAGCAGTCGCGGATCTGAGCGAGGGGGCGGGCGCGGGGTGGGTCGCGGGTGGGTCGCGGGTGTGTCGTGGGGTGGGTCGCGGGTGTGTCGCGGGGGGTCGTAGGGTGGGTCGCGGGTGGGTCGCGGTGTGGGTCGCGGGCCAGGCCAACAACAACCAAACCAAGCAACACGAATCCGGTTCACGGAATCCCAGTTCAGCCACGCATTCAGGAACAAGAAACGACCGTTCGCCCCCTTGATTCTGATGTTAAGGCACTTTACACGTGCTTCCTCTACAAGGGTCACTCTTGCCCAGGGCCACTCTTCGGACGCAGTTGGGACGAGGATCAATCCGTTAAAGAGCGTCGCGGGACGCTCTCAGGTTCCACCTTCAGAGCGTCCCAGAACGCTCCGAGGAGGCCGCGGCGCCCGAGACGTCCTCCAGAGCCGCCGGGTTCCAGAGCTTCTCGAGTTGTCCTCACCCGAATTTGTCCCTGCCCTGCCTTCGTCTTCTTTTGTTCTTCAGCTGTAAGACGGTCACTCTTGGTAATCGTTTTCTGATTCATTGTTTTGCCGATCGGCGCTGGCCCTCGCCCCCCCTCCCCCCCAATGGAGTAGAGCTTGGCTGTTTTGGGCGCCTGCTTCGAGCAGGTGGAGTCTCCCCCATGGGACGCACTGTTGCAAACAGTCGCATTGAGTAGAGTCCCGGAGCCAGACCCGCCCTCCCCCCATCTTCCGCCCAATGTCGAAACGCCGAGTACGAGAACAATCACTTGCCTAGGGCGGCTCTTTCGTGCCGCCGATCCGTCCGAGTCGCGGCGCTTCGGCGGATCGCCAGGCCGACCTTCAGCGCCCCGCGCCGCGGCCGCCCCGCGAGCGCGCGGCAGGACTTCGCCCGGAACCTGCTGAACGGCACGTACACCGGCGACGGGGATGGGCTCAAGAGACGGAGGTGTATGCCTGTCTATGCAAGCGGGGGGGGGGCGGGCCCTCCTCCACTCTCCTCCTCCCTCCTCCTCCTCCCTCCTCCTCCTCCTCCTCCTCCTCCTCCTCTCCTCCCCTCCTCCTCCTCCCCTCACCCCTCCCCCCTCCCTTCCCCCTCCCCCTCCCCCTCCCCCTCCTCCTCCCCCTCCCCCTCTTGTGTCACGGCTGCCCTTGAGGCTGCTGATAGGATTTTGGGGTCCACGCCTGAGCCTCGGGAGCCCTCCTCGGGACAGGGCGTGGACCATCCTCAGCAGCTGGAGCAGACGAGTGCTTCAAGTGGCTCTGCCGACGCTCCTCAATCAGTGCTTGCCGAATTCGCTGAATTGGGGCATGACGTTTTCTGTGTGAATTCCGTTTATTGCTGCCGTAAGTGCGGGGGCAATTTCAACGGGTCCGAGTCCTTCAGGTCAGCCCGCAAACTGCGGGCTTTGTGCCAGGGGTTTTCAGAGAATCCTAAGACTCGGGCTATCCAGCACACGGCGATTAACAGAATCAGCCGTGGCTTGGAGCCCCGCCAGAGAGGGGCAGGTGCGGCGCGTTCTGCGTAGCTATTTGGGCCCTGGGAGGTTTTAGGGTGTGGTTTTCCTGAGGCGCCCCACCCTCTCCCAGGCTTTCGCCTTTTCCGCCACCCCTGTGGCTCTCTGGTCTCACACGCGGTTGGTGTTCGTCACTCGGACGCCTCTCCTGCGGCTCGCTCGCCCCTCCCCCTCCTCCTCCTCCTCCTCCTCCTCCTCCTCCTCCTCCTCCTCCTCCTCCTCCTCCTCCTCCTCCTCCTCCTCCTCCTCCTCCTCCTCCTCCCCTCCCCCTCTCCCCTCCCTCCTCCTCCTCCTCCTCCTCCTCCTCCTCCTCCTCCTCCTCCTCCTCCTCCTCCTCCTCCTCCTCCTCCTCCTTCTCCCCGTGCAGTCCTCGGACGTCTTCTGCAGCGTGCGGGAGGTTCCAAGGCCTGGGGTGGTTTCCAGCAGCCGCGCCCCGCCGAAGGCGTCCCGGGGGGTGCCAGGGTCGTCCCGAGCGGCCGCCGGGGAGCCGAGTTGTGGCCCGCAAGCCGGGGGACCCCGAAACGGTGCGGAGGAGGAGGAGGAGGAGGAGAAGGAGGGGGAGGGGGAGAAGTAGAAGAAGGAAGAAGGAAGAAAAGAGGGCTGAGGAGAAGGCGAGAGGAGGGTGTTTGCCATGGCCGGGAGGAAAGGGATAAGGGCAAGCTAAACAGATTATCATGTGGGGTCCTTCCGTCGGAGTAATTGGTTTAGGGTTTTTAACAAATGGTCGCA